CCCCAAAACCCCAAAACCCCAAAACCCCAAAACCCCAAGTTAGAAGAGATAAATAGAAAATTGAATTGAATAATAGATATTCGAAAATTTTAATTATCTTTCTTTACTTCTAAAGCTAGTCCTTTAGAAGCACTTTTCTTTCTACTTCTTTTACGAGGTTGAGAAGGTCTCGACCACTTTGCTTTGTTTCTCATTAGATTAATATTTTTTTGCCTGAAGATTCTTTCTTGGCTCTCAAAAGTTCGTGATTTTTCCTTGCGTTGTTTATTTTTGTTTCCTAATCTCCACCTTTTTTTTGACTCACCATTGTTTAAACGCAATCTCTGACATTGCCTTATTCCTCTTTGCTTCTTCTTTATTTAGCTCTATTCTCTCTCTTCTGTTGTTTTCTTTTTAAACTCCTCTCTCTATTCTCTTTAGCTTGTTGCTTCATACTAAAATATCTCTTCTAAGCTTACCTTTTCTGGAGCCAATCATCGAATGCTTTAGTTGCATTCTCTAATTTCTGTTTCTTACTCTCCTTCTCAATCTTGAGTTTCTCTTTTGAAACTCTTCTGTGTTTCTTCTGCTCTATTTCCTTGTTCCGTTCCCACTGCTTCATCCTACAGAACCTCTGTTCATACTCTTCGAAGTCCTATTACCCAATCAGACTGCACATCCCCAGGTCTAGCTTACCTTAAGAGCCTTGGTCATTACTTGGTATGAGAACATCCCTTGGCTTTTGTTCTTGAGGCCTGAAGGCAGACTCAGAGTTGTGTCGTACTTGAAGTCGAAATTTCAGATCTAGATAGGTAGGTAAGCGGAGGCGTGAGAAAAGGGTGCTGAAGTACTGAAGGAAGATTGAGAGGGTTGAAGAGATGTAAATTAAAGCTGAAGTTTAGAGGGAGATTAAGAAGAATATTACTTAGAATAATAAATATGGGTTTTTAATTAAAAGTTCATTTAGGATTTGAAAAAGTAAGGTTGTTTTGATCAGTTAGGAATTATTTTATAACAGACTATACAAGTAATTCTAATAGTTTTTCTGGCACAAATTCTATTATTATAACTTTAGATCAATCTGCCAAGGTAGACACTAATTATTGGAGATTCAAATGACTAACTTAGATTTCCCAAAATTATCTTCCTGAGAAATTTCAGCTATCTTATAAGCTTACTTTTGACATAACTTTAGACCTGATCTTTGTATATGCTTCTTGATCCCAAGGGAAAAGAGGCCGGTATGCGTGATTCTTCATTCTATATCAAACCGTTATTATTAAATAAGAAATATTTTTATTGAGAAAGTAAAGCAGAGTATTACATAAATGGCTCAAGAACTATTAATATTCCATCTCTTCAAAATTTGTTAGAAAGCGAGAGATTTGTGTGATATAACTAGACTTACGTGCAAGGAGGAGACAATGGATTCTTCTTACGATCTTGGGACTTCTTGATAGGAGTCATGAAATTCAACATCTCTCGAGTCTCTCTTAACATTTTATCATTATCTCTTGCTTTTGGAGAAAATGTATTCTTATGTAATAGATTTGGATCTATTTCTTCCTTAAAATCTGTCAATTTGAGCTGCTCTTGCCTAATCTTTTCTCTAACAAGCTTATCAACATAGTATAATGTTTCTCTTGGTATCCTGAAGTTTATGACTGAATGGAACCTTTTCATTCCTTTATCTGTGATATATCACTTTCTCATTTCTTTTGGCGATTTGAAAGGAGAAGGGGACACATAAAGTCTCTTGAAAGCATCACAATGGACATTACTGGATTTAGGTCTGCGTTTCTTTTTCTTTTCACTTATAGGAGATAAAGGGATATCTTCATTTTCAAAGCCTTTTGATAATTTTTGCTGGAATGCTTCTACCATCGATTTGGGAAGCTCAACTATCTCTTCTTCATCTTTTTCTTCCATGATTTTAGCGATATTGACTCATCTTGCGTGTTCATTATCGCTGAATCCTTTCATTTTATTAAATGCAACTGTACTTCTTTGCCAGTGAGGAATAGCAGATGACAAATCGCTAGCTAAAGATTTTGTATCTGATTCCTTAGCTACAGTATCAAGAAAATTGAGTTTTGGTTGACTTTTAATTGACCGCAGCAGCATTTATGAAAATTTTTATTCTTAATTATATAACGATAAATTTTTAAATGTTATTTGGGGTTTTGGGGTTTTGGGGTTTTGGGGTTTTGGGG